GAATGCAATGCTGTACTGTGCAATAAAAAATCAGCGAAAAAGCAAAGCAGTGACGGATGAACAGCGGGACCACTGTGTGCTGTTTATTAATAAACAATAAAATATATTCCTAAATGACAACATGCATAAAAGCAGAACGGTATTTGTACGTCAGTGGGAAAATAGCGGTGGCTTGCTAGCTTTTGTGCGGCTTCCCCGGGTCAGTGAAAACTTTCAAAAGAGAAATGAATGAACTTACCAGGTTGCCCGATCTCTTCACATATCTTCCTCCAAGCTCGGTCCTTTTTATTCCTGTCTCGGTACTGAAAGCAGCTGGTGTTGTACAGCTCCCAGTTGTTTGCTACCGCATTGATTAGCCTTCCCCTCCATTGAAGTATGAAAGGCTTTGGCTGGATCTGCCCCTTTGACCTAGGTAACAGCCACGTCACCAGGCTCCTGATTGGTTGTCGCGGCGCGATTTGACGCTGGAGTTCAGATTTTTCCAACTCGAGCGGTAGACGCGAAACGCGCGTATGCACAAAATGCAACACAAAAACTCACGCGCGTGGTTTTATTCGCGAGTCAAACGCGCCAGACGCGCTACACTGACGCGCGTTTCACGCGTTTTGGCGTTTTCGCGACGCAAATCTGCTTCCGAATTTTCGCGGGACCCGCAATCGCGCGTCATCGCGCCTTTCCATTGACTTTACATGTAAACCTGACGCTCTATTCGCGTCCATCGCGTTCGGTGTGAACCTTCATCTGAGCCATCCCTTCAGATGCACTGGGTAAAAACTGAGACTTTAGACATCATTTAGACATCATCTGCAGACTCCATGTTTATGCATATGGTTGAGGGATTGGACACCATAAAAGGTCCTGCAGGTGTAATGTGTAGGTGACCCAATACTTTTGTCCATATAGAGCAGATCTATATAGAGCTGAGTCTGGGTGAAACTGTTCTAAAAGTCTTTGTTTACATTTTCCTTTGTTTTAAAAGAGCCTGATCATTTCCTTTAAAGGTTATCTGTTTGTTTTTTAAGTGGTTCCAAGCCAGAAAAAAGAAGCTACTATATTTAATAAAACACACTGTCATTTATTTTTTATGTAAAATATTCAGTTATAAAGTAACCAGGATTCCACTGTTTGGCACATCATGTGAAATAATAAGTGAAATAAATTCCTAGTGCTTGCTGACATGACTGTGTTCCAACAACAATCCTAAACCACATCAGGAGCTGCACAAACAGGAAAGCTGTTTCATTCTTACTTGTTGTTAAGGAGACTGAGTAGCTTGGTCTAAACAACAGGTGTGGAATTTACGGGACCTCATGTTTGGCATTGACTGTCGGTGAGATGTGAACTCCAAATAGCCTGGGGAGTCCAGACACAGGGGTCCATGAGAAATACTTCCAGAAGGTCGGAGGTCAAGATTCATTTGAAGGGCAACCTTCAAATGAACTTCCAATTAAAGACGCCTACAGACCAAATCTACAGGCTCGCATTCCACTGAGAACACGAGTTTTGTCAGACTTCTATTTTAGAGCTGGTTGTTTTATTAAAATTCGTAATCCCACCATGACGGGGTGAACATGTGCGTCTAGTGACTGTACTGACTCCGTCTTGTGTGGTTTATGGTCTATTCCCAAAGCTCACTGCAATAAACCATCTAATTAATTTCCAGTTTTTCATGTGCTTCCAGGGAAAATATAAGTCCAACATGTTTAGATGAAGGAATTTTGATGTGGATTATTGTTTATCAGAAGAGGTCACTGTTTATTTTATAGTTGGTCCTAACTGTAATGATTAGCATGTGATGTCCTGCCGTTCCATCAATACGGGATGTATCATCTCAGCTTCTCAGAATGTGTCATAATAAAAAGCACGAAAGTATAAAATTACAATGGAAAGAATAGAGAAAAAAAACTAAGGGCTTTTATTCTATTCTTTTTTAATCAGTTGCCTCATAACCCTTCAGATTTATCTTCTACCCCTTTGGAGTGGGCTCATACTGTGGGTAAAAAATCCATCCATCCATCCACCACTCAGGGTCATCACAGCTGGACTTTATCCCAGCCATGATAGAGCAGACATGTCGCCAGTTTTTCACATTTAAAATAATTAATGAAAAACTGTAAATTAAAAAATAATAGAATAAATATTTGAATGACATGTGATTAAAATAATAATGGATTGCATTTATATAACGCTTTTCGAGGCCCTCAAAGTGCTTTACAATTCCACTATTCATTCACTCTCACACACTGGTGAAGGCAAGCTACAGTTGTAGCCACAGCTGCCCTGGGGCAGACTGACAGAAGCGAGGCTGCCATATCGCACCATCGGCCCCTCTGGCCATCACCAGTAGGCGGTAGGTGAAGTGTCTTGCCCAAGGACACAATGACCGAGACTGTCCGAGCTGGGGCTTGAACCGGCAACCTTCTGGTTACAAGACGAACTGCCAACTCTTTGAGCCACGACACCAGAGAAGCCCCTTTCAAATGCTTTTATTCAAACCCCTACATCAATAACGTGTACAAATACTGATACTGAATTTTTAATGCAATCATTCAATTTTTTATACAGTGCAAATTTGCAACAGCAACTGCTTTAAACAGGCACTTTTCTATCATAAGATAAATATCATAAAATATTACAGAGCAAACAGACACTTAGCAACAGTGGGAAGGAAGAACTCCCTTTTAACAGGAAGAAATCTCTGGGAAAACCAAGCTCAGGGACGGGCAGCCTTCTACCTCAAATGGTTGAAGGGAAGTAGAAGAGGAACCAAGAAAATACAGAGAGACAAGGACGAAACACACATTATGGAAGTGAAAAGTGAAGAAATTTAAACGTAAAAAAAGCACTCTTAAAAGGTTGCAGAAAATGTGAAGTCTCTTGAAAATAAGCAACAGACTGAATCCATTTTGCTGAAAAAGGAAGAAAGGAAGAAAAGAAAAGCAGAATCTTTAGCAAGAGTTTATTATTTGTGAGGTGAAATTACATTTCAGGCTGAATGACATGAAAAATTGAATGAAAAAATATTAAGTGGCTGATTTGTAGTAGTTTTTTAGGTGAAGATAAAAACCGGATGTATGGTTAGACACACAATAAAGGCACAGGAGGTGAATGAACTACACTGACAGGTTTATTGCACGGTTCAACATTGGGGATGATGGCTGTTGATTGACAGCTTTTAAAATGAGAACGAAACCGAGCCACCTGATCCATGTGAGTCATCGCTACAATCACCAGAATCATAATTAAGCTCATCATATAAGATACTGAAGGAATAAAGGTGAATTGGTGAAGCGCTATATATAAGCAAGCGATGTATAAACTACACAGGACATTAACAGAGAGACAGCAGGAGATCATCATCCCACACAGGTGAGCAGTAATATTCATGCCACACAGGGAAAAGGGCCACACCTCAGTGCCATCTCATCAAACTGCTAATTCCTCCGCCCTCCTTCCTCCACATTTAAAGGTCAAGGCTTACCCGTTCACCTCACGAGAAATACACTTGGTTTCACAAGTTTACACACAAGAACGCACGATCGATTCAGAAACCGCTCTCCTGTGCTTCCTCTCTGTCTCCCAAAGGGCAAAATCTAACAAAACAAAAGAGGCAGAAAACAGTTTTTAAAATTGCTCATGTTGGTTCATCTGCAAGAAGATTTTAAATTAATATGAATCACCATGACAATCGGCTGCATCTTCACACTCACTGACGTCTTTAGCGAGTTTTTTTTTTCTTTTCTTTTTCCTCCCCTCGGATAACTACTTGAGAGTGAAATTGCCACTGAAAGCGAAACGATTATTTAGAACATGGGTCCCTAGATTATTCTTAGAGCTTCTCTTTCGTCTCTTTTGAGTCTTTTCAAACTGAATGTGTTTTTCGGGAGCCTGCTGAGCGTGAAACTGGTAACAACAAAAGCCAACTGGAGCAGAAAGTGCCACTCCCTGAGACTCAGAGAGGAACGCTTTGACCAGAAACGTAGGTAATGCACCAATACTAAATCCACACAAATTGCTCATAATGGACTAAATGGCTTTCTGTTACATCAGCAATTAAACAGGAGATAACAGTGTAGCAGTGTTATTCAGGAGTGTGTGTACAAACACATGCCGACCATGTGAACTGTGCATGCACAGCCACTGAGGACACTGAGGCTATGTTATGTCATGTTATTTTTTTCCATTTAAGAATGAAGTAATGATAGTTGACGTATTAAAATCCACCCACTTTTATTTTCAGAGAATATCTTTGGGAATGGAAGGGCAGTGAAGTGCTGTTTATATGACTGTATTTATCTAGCTCCCTGCTAGGAAAACATTTATTTTTAAAACTAATCCAATTGCAATTAGCAATTTTAAGATTTCACATAACAGCTTGCAGAACCACTTTTATTGGCAATAACTTGAATGAATCATTTTCTGTACGACTATATAAGTCTCTCACATTATTGTGGAGGAATTTTGGCCCACTCTTCTATACATATGCACAGCTCTCTAAAGATGCTTCCACAGCATTATAGTTGGGTCTGGACTTTGAGTGGGCCATTGCAACACCTTGATTCTTTTCAAGCCATGCAGCAGTAGATTCGATGCTGTGTTTTGGCTCATTGTTCTGCTGTATATTACAATTTTGACCAAGTTTTAGCTGTCCTCACATTAAACTGTAGAATACTTTGGTATACAGAGGAGTTCATGACTGGTGCCCAGGTCCTGTGGATGCAAAACAAGCTCAAATCATCACCTTCCACCACCACCAATAGTTCTGGGAAAAACAAGTCATACTTGTACTGTCATGAACTTGAATCTTTTAAGGCTTTCCCAAACAGAAAGTGGTGAATAGTCTACTTTTACCAACATCTGGGCTGCAAATTACCCTCATGATTCTACAGCAGTCAACAGTCCGATGCTTTATGTTGCTGAAAGATAAAGCCAGCCTTTATATCCTCAGATTACTCGGGCAAATACATTCTGTCATCGCGAGACTATCTGGCGTCTAATCTCATCATGTGACCAGTCTCGTGACCATCCCGGAAGAAGCGATTTTAGCGCTGTCAACACAACGCTTACAGAGAATAAACGCGAGAATATTCGCGCACAAGTTTCGTCGTTGTGTCGCTTCATTTACAGTACAGCAATGGACGGATCTATGAAAGCATCTCTGGACGCTTCCGCCCCACCGCCGCAGTATTTCAGAGGGTGAGAAAATAGTATAACGAACTAGCTAAGCTAACGGCTAGCTTGTATACCTAGTGACCTGAAAACCCGAGCTCTGCGGTGCCGTTCATTGCCATAGAGACATATCTTTTATGTGGCACAATCCGGGAACATAGATGTAATTTTCACCAGGGTACACATCCACATCCGTAGTCAGCGTGTCAGAGCCCCCGTCGCTGTGTGGTTTGATCCCGGCTGACTCATGAACTTGTGCTCCTTTGCAGAAATGAAAGCTCCCTGGTTTCAGCCCTCAAGACTCTGCTGTTCTTCACCATCCTCATGGTCACGGTGCCCATTGGACTGTATTTCGCATCAAAAGCGTACATCTTTGAAGGTGAAGTGTGTCCGGATGATTGTGGACTTACCTCCACTCTGTTCCTGCTTTCACATTTTCTTGGGGTTTTTACTTTATTTTGTAAACGTAGCACATCATCCAGATTTTAAAATCTATTGATCAGTGGTCATCTGCTGACAGGTTAATAGAGCAGTCAGTTTATCTTTAAGCTCTAATAGTAATAGTCTTTTAGCATAGTATTTGTCATTCCATACCAACATTTCCATTTTAGATGATATAATAAAGCTAATCCAGATGAGAATGTGCATTTATTCTGGATCTAGGGATTTATCGGAACTCTTTCCCCCATAATTATCACATTTGACGACCTCCTCAGTACCCACAATGACAAATATACTGGTTTATATCACCCACAATAATCGAATACAACCAGAGATGCTGTAGGTTTATATGGAAAGACATAACAAGCCACTGCAGCTTTTATTTTTCTGGGTTTCATTCTGTGCCAGAGAAAGTTGTGTTTAGCACCTCAATATAAACCTGACTTGTGACACTTTAAACTCCGTGATGCAGCTGCTGGTCGTCGCCATTAACGCTCTGCTTCTGTTTCGTAGGTTCGATGAAGATGTCAAGCTCTGACAGTTATTTCTACGCAGCCATTGTTGCGGTGCTCGCTGTGCATGTGGTTCTGGCTTTGTTTGTTTATGTGGCCTGGAACGAAGGCGCGCCTAAAGGCAAGGGCAAACATGATTAAGGCATATCCTTATCAGCTTAGAAGACCAGAGGAGACAGACCGACCGACGTGGGGAGGGATCCAAGCCCACCCCCCTCCCCTCACACCCCCTCCCAGGTCATGGGCATTGTAAGACCATCTACAATGAGCTGCATTAGAGCTCCGAGGTTAAAGCCTGAAACTACTCTGTGTTCCCCGGCAATGGCGGGGGGGAGTGGAGCTTGCTGAGTGTGCTTGCTCACCAGCCTCAGCGGGCCCGCCTTCTTGACTTTCTTTTTTTCTCTGAAAATATTACTTTTGTCAACAGAGGACAGCCGTGGTTTTTAAGAGGCTTTGTCATAAGCTGCCATTTGGCTAAGTGCTCTAAGTCCCTTCTCAGCAAAGAGTTTGTCTTGTAGGAAAGCATCTTGGGTTTTGACTGATGTGTGCAGGTGTGCACGCACACACACTTTGCCTCATGTTTAATGCATATGAAAGATTTGCTTCCAAAATGCTTCAATTAGCTCGAAGTCATGTTATTTTAATCACATTTCAGTTGTTGTACATTTGAGGATGTCTCTCAGCATCATTATAAACCCATAATGTGCTTAAATCTCACGCAAACCATATCATTCGAGTCATCTGTTAACCCTTTTAAATAGTGTTTAAATTTGGTTTTCTTTCAGTTGATGTGCGTTTGTGTGCCGTAGCGTGGCGACATTATGAAACTTTGGTGTTGCAGTGAGTTCCTAATTCACACTGTATTTAAATTTGTGTGTTTTGTGTCGATGATGTAGCCAGTGACGTTGGTCGTCATGCAGATGTGAGTGCCGACTTGTTCAAATAAACTGGAAAGTGTACATTTTTGTTGTTTCTAGTGGTATTTTCTAAAAATACAAAGATGAAAGGAAACGATTTGTGCTTGGTTAAAGAATTAAACTGATTCTCTACAAAATCATCTTTTATTTTTAATAAAGTGCAGAGTTTTGTTTTCAGGTTTCTAGTGTGCGTCCTGTTTTTTTACATGGTCTAATACCAGAACAACAAACTGACTACTATAAATGTGATATTAAAAAACACATTTAAAGTATTATCTTTTGCAATCCTCTGATTAAATCTTGGATGAACTGTTTGTTTTTTGTTGTATTTTTATGAATAAGGCCTGCATGTGATGAGTGAGCCTTATAACACAAGAGGTCATGACTTCCCCTACTATTTGTTGCCATAACTAACCAAAAAATGTGCGCACAGAGATCAAACATCCTCGTAAACAAACTTATTTTTAATAGTCCACCCCAGAAGCACATTTACACATTGTCACAACAGTTCCAATCCTAACATTCAGTGTGGAAAACTGTCAAAACTGATTATTTAATTCATAAAAATATCTTAATGAAATAAAGAAAACATTTGCAAACCTCATTAACATGACCCAGATTTTTCCCAGGCCTGATAAAGACTGTAGTGAAAACCATTAGAATTTGGTTGCCAAAATAAAACAAGCTTTGTCTCACATGTCTGGGAAGATACCTTATTGACCTCTGCAGGGAGTCTGAATTGTCACATGGTGGCAGTAAATGGTCAGCCAGTTCCCACAGACAGCGCGGTAAAAGAAGCAGGGATAAGACCCGGCAGCTGCCTGGCCGTAACAACGTTTTCTGCCTCGGAAACCATGTCAGCAGCTGATTTCTCTTCGTTTTTTCCCTTCACACTATGAGAGCCTCTTCTCACCAGCACCGCTTTATGTGTGTGTAGCTCCCACACTGTACTCCAGAGTCGGAGCTGTGCAGCCTGCCTGCAGTGAGTTTAACAGGCTGGTGTTGGTGATGAGGTGACAGGCCTGCGAGCAATCAGACTGATTCAGTCAGCAAACATCAGATGTCTCCCCCCCTTCCTTTGGCTGATATTTCATACGCTTACCCTTGCAACAACAGAAAGATGGGGCAAGGGCAGGCTTTGCTTTTGGCTCTTTGTCATTTAGCACACATTAGCAGGTTGAATGCATAGTGTCAGTGACATGAAAAGCAGGCCAGAGAGAGCTGAGCGTCTACCTAAATGAAGGGTTACAAGCGATACACGTCAGCACTCCTTGATGATTTTCTTTTGTATACTCTGTCCTGTAACAGAGTTCAGATAACTCATGTATAGCACAAATGTTCTTGGTGCACTTTACATCGGCTCATACTGCATGTAGTAGAACATACACTCACCAGCCTTCATTAAGCACGCCTGTTCAGCTGCTCATTAACACAAATGTTAGCCAAGCATAGGTTCAAACCGAGCATCAGGATGGGGAAAGAAAGCGATTTAGCTCATTTGACCCTTGCACAGTTGTGGGCATCAGATGGGCTGATCTGAATATTTTCCACACAACCATCTCTAGGGTTTACGGACAACAGTCTGAAAAAGAGAAAATGCCCAGTGAGCGGCAGCTCTGTTGTGGCCGGAGGTCAGAGGAGAATGGCCCCACTGTAGAGCGCCTTTGTGATGTGGTGGAGCGGGAGATTCACATCATGGACGCAGCTTGTCTGATGCTGTTGTGTCAATATGGACCACAATCTCTGAGGGCTGTTTCCAGCACCTTGTTGAATCTCTGTCACAAAGAATTAAGGCAGCTCTGAAGGCAAAAAGGGGAGTTCAGCCCAATACCAGGAACATGTACCTAATGAAGTGGCTGCTGAGTGTATCAGATGCCTCCCTCACTTAGATTTCCCTGCCCAGCAGATGGCGTGCCCAACAGATGCAAAGCTCAAACAAGCAGCTGTGTTGGTGTTTAAGTGAAAGTAAAGAAAGAGGGCAGTAGAGTACCACGCTACAGCTGGTGGAAAATAAAGTCCACCACACTGAAACCTCGGGGAGCAAACAGAGTAAGACAGGAGAATAACTCATCTGGACACTTGAGATCATATCCACCATTAAACACAACGAAGGAGGCACTTTATTGTGTTAGTCTGCGTTGTTATTTCCCATGGAATTCAGCTCAGGCGCTTTTGAGAAGACAGCAGGATATGTTTCAACACTTTAGAAGGTTTTATTTCACAGTTTCATCTGTGTAGGTGTTTAAAACTTAGAATTCAAGACAATTTAATTCTCAGTACATAGAGCTACATGTTAGGTTTACCAGAAACAACTGATATGTCACATAGATTTCTACATCTATCATACTTTCAAATCACTGACTAAAGTTTCATCATCAGGCGCTTTTACATTAGGTGCTAATGACCAGACGCTCATCAAGGAGTGAAAAACCTATCCTGTTTATGCTCTGGTGTCCTCTCTGATGTGACACGTGTTGTGACATCAGGGTAAGATCCAAAGACCTGCCTAAAGTCCTTCAGAACGAGTTTCTATTATTTATCATTATCATTATTATTTTAGATACCTTTAAGGTCAGAGAGAAACCACAAAGATCTTCAAATAAAATATTGCATAGTAAGGAAAATAACAACAATTGATTTTTCCACTAAATACACCCCAAGAAGACTCCATGAAGCCATAAAATTCATGTAGGTAACTCTTGCAAGCTGTAGTGTCATAGTGCATGTAGCTACAATCAGAAATAGATGACCAGAATATGAAGTCTTTCAGGAAAACTCAAACAGAGCCACTTTTACAGCTAACATAGAGGTATAATAACTATTATGCTCTCTAACTGTAACAGTATCCTTGACAAAGGCCAAAGTTGTCTTTGCAGTAGCGGAACTGCAAACCAGCTGTGAAAAATGGCGGTGAAAATGTGATTCAGGGTGGCTTTGCTAACTCAGGGACAGGACATAGAGCATTTACTGATTCACCTGTGTACATTCTGCATCACATTAAAGAGTGCTTGAATATAATGCAAAGCCATTTGTCCATGAGCCAAATCTTAACAGGAAGTGCACCTTTAAAAAGGATGATAATGCTAAGTGCACAAGGAAATCTATCAATGGATGTCTCTGAAACCTGGAACTGAGTCAAAAACAAGATCCTGCTGTAGTGTTTGGGGGATTTGAAAATGGCTAAACCTTCAAGTGAAATAAGTCAGTCAGTCAGTTGTCCATCCATCCATCCATCCATCCATCTCTAATTCAGGGAAAGGAGTTGAGCTGGAGCCTATCCCAGCTGTCATATATAGCAATTCTTTCAATTTACAATCACAGCACACCTCTGTATACTTTTAGTCATTAATTTTTTTTTGTTATATTAAACAGAGATCATGTGAAGCAAAGAAAGTATTAATAACACACATATAATGACAGACATGAGGCATCAGTAGCATAATATTTTTGGTCCATCACCCCAATTAAAATAACAATATTTTTTGTCGTCCTTGGTGGTCATGCTACATTTATCAAAACCTCCCGGGACATTAGAAAAAACGCAGTTTTGTCCAAGAAATGTGTTTCATGGATGCTTTTATTTTTGTGAAGCAGGAAACAGATAAAAGCGCCACTCTTAGGTTATTTATGCTTTATGTAACAGACGGAACTTTTTATGGCTGTAGATAATTTATCAGAATGTGCTGAATATGTCCAAAAATGTGCTACGCTGGACATCTTCTATCACAGTCCAACAATCTGATGGTGAAAGTGAAGCCCTGCAGAAGGATTTCATTTCAAAGCGCACTCATTTCTCTTCATCTGTCATCTTTTTTCTTCTCTCTCAAATATGGTCACATTTTTATTTCAATATCGCCTCCATTTTTTATCTTCATTTCCAAAGATGGGTGGAATGTTTTTTAAAGACTGACTTATTGATTGATGAAGCTGACTCTTTAGTCTGTTGCGCTATTATGTGTTTTCACAAGTAACACACGAGGGATGTAAAGCATATTGTGCTTGGCACCACAACAGACGCAAGAATAGTCTAGTACGTCCAGTTTTTGCTCATTGCAGATAGAAACTGAGAAACTGTAGCCCTCTGATTGATATATATATATATATATATATATATATATATATATATATATATATATATATATATATATATATATATATATATATATATATATATGATATAATGGCAGGTTATGTAGAGGAGAATAATATGTCATGACTCCATCATGAATCATCATTAATTTGCAAATTCGGAACATATTTTAATGATTTAATTTCCACAAAAGTTATTTGACACAACAAATCACACCTTTCAACTTTTATTTTATTTTGAAAAGATTTTTAATTTTTTTCTATGGACACCTAAAATGTAAATGTGCCCTTTGGGTTGACTTTTGTTTAAACGTGGTGTAGGCTATAAATGAAACAGACGTGACAGTCAAGACAAAAAAGGTTCAGATATTTTTTATAGCGCATGTTTGAGGTATAAAAAAAGATAATTATTCAACACACTTTAGTGGGCTACATACTGAACTTTGAGGATAGAAACACAGTAAAGATCCTATCATGCTCGTATTGATCTCATACCGATATCAGTATTGGTATCAGTACTATCGATATTTAGATGAATCTAGAAAACACTACAATGACACCCGGATGGATAAGCTAAGAAAATGGATGGATGAACTCCTTGAGGCATCAAGCATAGAGTCACAAGGGTGCTTCCTCATGATGTACATGCTATGAGTTTCAAGGTTTCCATGCCAGCGATGTGTGCCTTCTTGGCACAGATGAGTATAAGATATGCATGCGAGGGACACGCAGACAGCAAAGACTTTCCACGTGTTTATTCTCGCTTCAACATGTCTGTTTTAAACACGTTAAAATGATGAGTCAAACATCACGTGGCATGTCCTCATTTCAGAGACCCCGTGTTCGTTAACAGTGTGATCGTTTTCAAAAGAGAAGCCTTCAGAGCTGCGCTGCATTTCAGCTTCTGTGTGGGCCAATATTACAGCTGGTTTTCATGTATTATCACCAGGGTTATGACATATGAATAGTTGCAGTGTGATAAAGACTCAAAATCACAAATTGAAGTGCAAATTTAAGACAATTTATTTCAAGCAGATTTGCAAACAAGGTTGTCATCAAGTGCTTCAAAGCAAACAAACGCCACAAATCC